ATTTAATAGCATTATCGAATAAGATCGTGCGGGCGACCACGTTTTAGTCGTCTTTGAGGTGGTGGACGTATCACGTATGTGTAAGTTGAAGTTTATTGAGCCAATAACTTGGTTTAAAATAGATTTATAAATTAGTTAGAAAATAGTCAATGATATAATAATATTATGTTTATTTATAGTTAAATTGGAAATTTTATCATAGCAATTAAATGACACTTTTGTTGTACACGTACCGGGTATTTATTTTATGATAATAATATTATAAATGGACATTATTGTTCAACGTACTTAATACGTACTATATACATCAATGGACCTACGCTTTCGGGTTTCGTATTAAACCGATATAATTATATTATATACAATATTGAGCCACTAATAATTGACGTTGGTAGATGACCTTTGCGGCTACACATGGTCACGCGGGATTTTAGGATCGTTGACAAATTTCAATAATTAATTTCCCATGGGTATTGGCATAATACCTGATAGGCGATAACCATCGACCTACATTTACAAATAACTATTATTCAAAAAATACAATACGCCATTGACTACCAGTRCACTATATTATATATATATGGTTATGCACTAAATGTCTAAATCACAAAGAAATAAAAACATTTCAAGACTCGCAGTATGTTCATGATGATAGCRGTCCCATAAATTACAAATTACTATGATGAATGACAGMATTTCGAGTAGTAATTGTGCGAGGAAAGTAAAAGTTAAACACTATACATAAATATATAATACATTAAGCATTTTAATTATGTTTAATTTTAAGTCCATTTTACGAGATAGGTAATTTAATTAATTGCGTTGTATAATACAATTATTTAAAGAGATTTATCCTAAATTGTACCAGCTGAGGTAAGACACTTTTCCCAAGGAGAAAAAAKAAATAGGAATATAAACAGCACATAACAGCTGACCATCTTCCTTAACAACTCAWAAATTGACAAGTTATTGTAAGCCACGCGTATACGTCATGCATGCATATGTTAAAGCATAATAAATAATACATATTATGTAAAAAACTAATGTAAGTAAAATGTGAACAAATTAATTAACCATGTATAATGAGGCTTAAAAAAAATAATAAAWAAATAAAATTACAAATCACAACACCAACGAGATAAATTATAATCTTAAGCATGGACGCTTTGTTAGATTAAACCTCCAGATATTCTTCTTCACCAATATTGTTCAAGAATCAAGAGGCAAGGCACTTATTTTTATGAAGTTTATTGTTTACGCTTACTTTGTTTTACTTTTAAGAGTGCCCAGTGAAAAATCACACGCAATACAATTTACCAAACGAACTGACCACTCAAACAGACCATACCAAGAAATAACAATTGTTCGGATGAAAACGTTATTGTATTGAACACGCAACTTTAGATGTTTCCAATAGCAATTATTATTGTTATTCCTATAAAAAGCCATTTTGTAAAGTTTCCAAAATCTCCAATTATTTTTATCAACCGATGTAACATTGAATATTTGAATGAGTTTTTTTCTGAATGCAAAATTCGATAATAGATATTAAATAAATAGCGATGTTTGATAGAAGAAAAAAAGTGATCCGTTATATTAAAGCTGGTATAATGATGGCAACAATTGTGTCATCATCGATATAACTGACAATTATTATTGTACATAAATCGTAGTACTATACACARTTCTGTYCACTGAACATTTTCTAAAAATAAAACTAAATGAAAACATATTTTTTCGATTTGTTGAAAATGTATGGTTTCAAAAATGCCGGTCCCGAAAAAGATTTACGATACGCACATAATATTTCAGTTATGACACAACGGAAGATCCAAGGATGAGGATTGTTATAAATTCTAATACAAGTAACATAATGATATATCTAACGATATCAACAACCATCGCCCCCGTTCGAAAAAAAAGCACGTATTTTATTCCGGACTTTTATACCATGGTATATAACGTCGACGCGTAGCAAATAGTGCGTGCCGAGTTCCGCACCGGAAAATTTGAAAACGGTGTAGGTATATATATACCTACTCCATAGTATTATACAGGGTGATGAAAAATGCTCATCGCTCATTTTTCAACGATAAACAATTTATTAAAATTATTAGAATTTTTAAATATTTTTAAATTCTTGAGATTTTTTGTACTACAAAAGAGTCATTTGTTATTGTTTCGACTTAAATGCATGTAAATACAGCATACARGGTGGTTTACTGAGCATTTTTAAAAATATACGTCTTAAAGACCAGAATATTTTCAAATTCTTGAGATTTATTCTACTTATGTCCTATTATCCTATGGAAATACAAACTTCTGTTTTCCGAATAAATACTTCCCAGTTAGGTATACAGCAAGTTAATTATTTAGTATATATATTTGTTTACAATGTTTATCTAGGTATTTAATTCATATTTTGAACGAGTAGTTTTTCAGTCATCAACATTTTTATAAAAATGAAAATAGTCCTTAAAAATGATTTWAAAAAAATATGAAATAATTTTAATATTGCGAAACTCGTATTTATAGTATTTTGACAATTTTTAAAAATTATAAAATATGTTGATTGTTTACTTATGAATTGCTAAAATTTTCAAATCACCTTAGCCTAAATCTTTCAAAACCAAGGTCTTGGACCTATTATTCTTATTACACAAACAGAGTTAGATGATTCAAAAACTACTCGTTTCAATTTTTATTTTGATACATTCACAGTTTCAATAAATTTATCTGCTAATTAATATACCATAGAAAAATTATGTTCTCATTTGCAACACCAAATTTTGTGTGTTCACGAGACACTCCTTAGGTAGTATACCTACGTACAACAAATTTCAAGAATTTACTAATAATGATTTGGCTTTCAAGTCGTATATATTTKAAAAATAAAAAACCATATTGAGAATGCTCGGTGAATCACTCTGTATACTATATTTTAGGTTTTATCTACGAGTTGAAGTCGAGACGATAACGAAAAACCGCCTACACACGGTTTGGCCTGGTGGATATGTACGGTCGTAAATATTAATTTCGCTTTTTCGTATATACATGCGTATATATACTTCTACATATTATATAACTACGCGTATCATATGTATAATATGTTACATAGTACCTCTTGTGCATAA